AGGAAGGCCTTCCACGACCTTCTTCATCTTCAAGGCTGAAATCTCCCTCCCGAAATTTTTTAAACCACCTTTGCACAGTGCACTCATTAACACAACCCTCGCCCCAGACTTGGTTAATGTTTCTAGCCGTTTGGGCTCCGCTTCGGCCGAGTTTAAACTCGTAAAAGAAAATCGTACGAAATTCTCGCTTTGACATTATAAGGATGACTGAATTATTTCCAAGTAGCGGAATGCTACAGAGGTAAACAAACAATATCATTTGGAAGAGGATTAATAAGTGTTGACATTCATACAAATGAGTAATCCTGTAAACGTAAACAGAATATTTTATATAGATTTTTTTTTAATGAAAACTTAAAATCCTGCATTATTTTCCGGACAACCCAATAGAATATAACACTGTTGTATGGTCGTCAAGCAATGGTAAATATGCATACAGTCTAGAAATTGTGAAAAATAAATTCCTTCGCTATACAGCTCATACAATCAAATTTGTTAGAAACCCCCAAATAGACCCCAATGCGAAAGAAAATGGGTCTGCTGTGACTTGAAAAGAGAAGAACAGAAGTATGTATCTAGATTTGGAGAGGGCCAAACTAAAAGGAGTGGTAGGACTACTAACCGGTCACTGTCATTTGAGAAAAAATCTACACAACACGATAATCCCATCTGCAGATTATGTAATGAGGAGGAAAAAGCCAACCATATCATCTTCGAATGCGAAGCAACAGCTCAATGAAGATTTCGCCTAACGTACGGAAAAAACCTAGGAAGTCAAATTGCAGCAGCGACAGACAATGACCTGATACTTCTAAGAGAAGCATTGAGTCTATTGCACTGAACTAAGGAACTAGGAAGGTAGAATAAACCAGAAGGCTGCAGTGCCTGGGAACAAACCCGCTTCCTAGTATTCTTATCTCCATACCATACCATAACATACCATCTGTAGATTATGTAATGAAGAGGAGGAAACAGCCACCCATATCATCTTCGAATGCGAAGCAACAGCTCAATGGAGATTTAACCCAACGTGAGGAAAAAACTTAGGGAATCAAATTGCAGCAGCGATAGTCAATGACCTGACACTTCTAAGGAAACGAATAGAGTCTATTGCACTGAATTAAGGCACTAGGTAGATACAATAAGCCAAAAGGCTGCAGTGCTTGGGGAGCGCAAAGCCCGCTTCTAGTATCCCTTTTAACCATACCATACCATACCACTGTTTTTAGATACATAGAGATACATGGTATCTAGATATGTTTATTTATGTTCCATCATAAGTGGAATGATAAATAGTCCTAAACTGTTGGAATGTATAAACTTAAATGTTCCTAGGCTCAATATGAGTAATTGCAATTCATTTTATACAAATATTCCTATGACAAATTATATGAAATATAGTCTATGACGGAAGGGAATTTGTTACGTTTTGACTGGTCTTCTGACAGCATATCTAAACTAAAAAATATTATTGTAAATTATCCTTAATTGTAATTAGATTTCGTGGTCCGATTGACCAAATAACATCTTTCAATTAATTAATCTTTATGTAAGGTTATTCAGATATCGTGAGATGCGGTCGGGTGTGATGTAGGTTTCAGAAAAACATTTTCTTTATCGTGCCAACGTTTCGATCTTTTATTGAGATCATCTTCAGGGCCTGGGATTTACAAACAATGTTTACATTTAACAAATACATTTAGGATGTGGAAAAGTGAATTTATACAATGCAAAAATTTTATATTCAAACAAAGTTTTCTACTCACTCAAAGTGTTTGTCTTCTGTGTAGGTATTGGTTGAGGTAAAAAAGTCAGTGTCACGAGCGGGAATTCGAACCCACGACCTTCGGCTAAATACGCCGCTCCTCTAACCACTCGAGCTATCGTGACTTTGATCCATTCAAAACAAATTTGAAAAATGGCAAAAATGAGGGAAAATTCGAAAGGTCGGGTTGATATGGGAAGTTGGTGTCCGAGTGGATCGAAGTCAGGATAGCTCGAGTGGTAAAGCAGCGGTGTTTGAGCCGAAGATCATGGGTTCGAATCCAGCTCGTGACACTGACTCGACCAATACCTTACATAAAGATTAATTAATTCAAAATTGTAAATTATATTAAGTTAATTCATTGTAATGATTAAAAGTATAAAATGTATAATTGTGGGAAGTTCCTTTAAATAAAAAAAAATATTATTTTAAAAAAATATACAGAGCTATAAATTGCCAACAGACTTCAATTAGCGAGAATTAATGGAGTCTACTTTCTCCATAACAATGCCAGGTCTCATGTTTCGTTAGTGACGCGGCAAAAATTACTGCACGTCCTGCTAACTAACTTATCATACCAACAATAACAACGGCCTAATTAAGATTTTAACGAATTACTTTACATGGAAACTGTATATTTTAGTCAATTGGTTACGATGGCTAATCGATTTAAACAAGGATTTACAATAAACACATTTAATACGTGTACGAATAAAAAAAGGACGTTTTCGAAGCGCAAAATGCACTGTTATATTGATTCTTATATACAGAGAATAAGAAAAGTGATTTTAACAAAAAATTAACAGAGCTAGACGTTATCTAAGAGAGTGGTTAGGAACCGTATGGACATACTAATCACACATAATTATATACTAGTGGTTCAAAGTTTGTCTTCATACAGGAAACAACTGGAAAACAGGAGTTACGAATGCAAGACAGGTTTTCTTTGACATTGTATAATTTTAATTATAGCAGAATAAAATATGGGTTCTTCGTGCTGACGGCTGGAAAAATCCCTAAGATGAGATTGCATAAATTATGATTAAAGTTATTTAATCGTTAAAAGTTGAATTTTCCCTGTAACTAATCAACGATTGATTTTATTGAATAAATATATTAATTGAAAAGTGAAAAAAATTAAATAATAAATATTATTTCCTTAGACTATTTTTTTTCGAAAAAATGAAGCCATTTATTGATTGAACATGGTCAATTACGAAATACTAATTGTAAGTGGATAAGCCGAAATTCCGTGGACGCGCCATACTTTTTGAAAAAGGGGGCTTAAAATGGGAAGATTTTACTTTAAAATCCTTCCTATTCCTCAAAGCAATAGCTGAGGGATAGAAAGGAATTGGGACAAAACTTTGTTTAATTCTTAATTTAATTTAATTAATCGAAATTGAAATGGTTCCCATGTCGTTTCATACACTTTTACTTAAAATACTTTTAGCTGTAACTATGTCGAAACGATTAAATTATACTTCTATACATTCGTGTAACATTCACAGGCATGTATACCTCGAGACCTCAATCTGGTTGTAGAATTTGGCTCAATTTTGAAAAAATACGTTTTTTACTTTAGCAGCATTGCATGCGGTGTTAAATTGAAAAAATGGCGAAAATTTAAGTTTGAACGGATTTTTTTTCGGCTTATTTTTCCGAAAAATAATTTTCGCTCTTTGGAGCATGTTGGTTCTGTAAGAAATAATTTGTACAGATTGGATTTTCGATCATGTCCTCCAAACAATCAAGGTTTGATTTTGACACAAATACATACAATGGAAAATAGAGAAAATCAATTTTGAACAGATTTTCTTTAGTTCATTTTTCGGAAAAAATGAGCTTCTCTCTTTCATAAATGATGGTTCATCAAGGAATAACTTGTGGGAGGGTGAATTACCAAGAAATTCCCCATAAATAATCTACAACTTATGTTGTGGCATAAATGGCATAAATACATATAATAAAAAATAGAGAAAATCAATTTTGAACAATTTTCTTCGGTTCATTTTCTCGGAAAAAATTATCTTCTCTCTTTCATAAATGATGGTTTAGTAAGAAATAATTTGTGAAAAGGTGAATTACCACGTATTTCCCTATAAATAATCCACGGTTGATTTTGTGGCGTAAGTGCATAGAAAAAATGGAAAAAATGCCATTTTGGAATTAATTTTCCGAAGTACATTTTTTTCAAAAAATGATTTTTCTGACTGTGACTCTTTGACACACGATGGTTCAAGAAGAAATATTTTGTGAGGTCAAGTATCAAATATGTCTGTTACTAATCAACGATTGATTTTATGGCATAAATACATTAAAAAAGTGGAGAAAATGCCATTTTGGAATTAATTTTTAGAAGTACATTTTTTTCAAAAAATCTTTCCTCTTTGGCACACGATGGTTCAAGAAGAAATATTTTGTGAGGTGAATTATCAAGTATTTCTCTGTTACTAATCATCCATTGTTTTTATGGCATAAATATATGAAATAAAAAGTGGAGAAAAATCAATTTTAAACAGATTTTCCTAAATTTCTTTTTCTAAAACATTATCTTCGATCTTTGCGAGGTGAAATAATCGGTGTCAGTTGAATTATCAAGTATTTCCCTATAATTATAATAAATTATGATTATTACAAAATATTAAAAAAAGTAATAAATAAAATTTTAATAAAAATTAGAGAAAATTCAATTTTGAACAGCTTTTCCTGAAATTTAAGGGACGGTGTTTTTTTAAAATATCCTCCTATAAATTTTAATTAATTTAACGGCGTCAATAGACGAAATAAAAAATATATATTTGATTGTTATCGCTTTATACAAACACGACGTAAAACTTGGTTGCTCCTGTTCCAAAATTTTGTTTGAAAAAATTTTCCTCGATATTATTGATTAATTATAGATTATTGAAAAAATTATATGTGCTCAAGTCGTCTCTTTATCTAATTTAAAATCACCTGTTCCCGATAAACTGATTTTTTAATCCATATATGTTTAGCGGTCATAATTTACCATATTAATTATTTCGATTAATTATTCTTTTCATCTAAGGTCTTCGTTGAGATGAAAAAGTTAATGTCACGAGCGTGATTCGAACTAGGTTCGAAGCCGAAGCTCGCGAGTTCGAATACCGCTGCACGTGACTCTTTTTCACAAAAAGTACAATTATTTGAAATATTTTTTTTTTAAATAATTATTTCTTGTTTAAATGCACAAGCATTTTTTTTTGCTCACCTCAAGAATTGCAGCATTCTGAAAAACCTGGACCAAAACTTTGTTCTCCTGGTATAAAGTTTCGGCACCTTTCCCGGCGAGAAAGTGCGAAACGATTCTCGATAGGAGGTAAGTCCAGCTAAAAAAGGTCAGAATTATTAAAATTAAATTTGTTCAAATTCAAAATCTTACAAAAAATTCAAAACGTACGCTGTCAGTTGCACGGAGTTGTAAAGTATAAGGTAGGACTTAGCACCCTCGCTCATCGCCGGCTTTTCGGCCTTAGAATCGTTCTTGGCCATTTAAAAAAAAATTTAAAATATAAAAAAAACTAACCGAAATGACAAATTATTATGCTACGAGGAACTATAGATGTACTCGATTCGGCCGAGTGCCTATGAACTGAGGAGTGAGAACGCCTTCCACCAAACCAAGACGCCCCACTACTAACAAAACCAGTGTTTGAAAACCAGTTTCACGACATGGGTGTAGTTCTGACTACCTACAGAATGAAAAACATTTCTCAAATGTAGAAAACATCCTACAAGTCTCGTTGGAGACATTGACGCACGTCATGACCTTCCATGATGACGTGTCACATCGATTCTCCAACTAGCTTAGCCAACTGGTTTAGAGAAAAAAAACCGAGACGGTTTTGCATACCGACATACAAGAATGGATTAGATCATTTGTAATTTCGTTAATACTTAAAACTTCAACATGTCATAACATAACATTCGGACTTTCACCCCGATGTGGTGACCTTAGTGTCTATACATCAGGAAGTTCAACCACCCCGTTATGTGGCTGGGTCGCTAGTATCCTCCTTAAGCCAAATGCCTGGGAGATCGTCGCTTCCCTACCAACTGGGGTTAGGCTCCGACAGCTAGGTCGAGCTCAAAATACATGCAATCTATAATCTAGCCTAACACTTAAATTGGATAGATCATTCGCACAAATAAATACATTCATATATTGTACTCATTCTGATTGGTTGGTGGAGTACTCGATATTCTCCATTGACCTATCCACAGTATTTTATTTTTATTTTATTTATGTTTTTTTAATGGGTCAAAAACCCATTTCTTAAATAAATGCTTATTGTATATACTCAACATACTTATTGTACGTACTCGACATTAATAAAAGATAAAACTCTATACTATACACCAATGAAAAAGTCAATAAAATCCTTATAAACTCCTTATTAAAAACCCATTTCTTAAATAAACGTATGCAAAAGTAAGGAGAAAAAATATACAATACAATGCTTATTGTATATACTCAACATACTTATTATATGTACTCAACATTAATAAAGGATAAAACACTATACAATACACCAATGAAAAAGACAATAAAATCCTTATAAACTCCTTATTAAAAACCCTGTCTATATAATTATAACGACTAGGAATTATAAATATATATTTTTTTTATTATTATTTTATTGTATTTTACATACTAGCAGAGCCCATTTAATACTTATAAGTAAAAGTAAAACAATAATAAAGATATACGTAGATTGAAATTAAATTATACATAAGTTTTCTTAATAATATTAGACTAAACATATTGAAAAATACTAATCAAATTACAATTACAGGTTAAACTTAGCATTATTGAAAACTAAAGTAAATATAATGTAGTAGGTAATAGAAATATGTAAAATTTAGAAAAAAATATATACCTATATAAAAATATAACGGAGAATAATATTGCTTAAGAGGAAATACTAAAGAAAATAATACAAAAAAAGAAAAAATCTATTTGTGAATTATTGACATCTTTCAATATTCTGTTAATTCTGGTGAACTTGAGAAAATCAGCTTTTAGGAAAGGAATGTGGAAGGTTTGGCAGGATCTATTGGTACAATTGGAGTTTACCAAGGATTTCTGGGGAAGCTGTACAATTATTTATTAATTTGAAAATAAAAACAATCACAAAATACTTTCTTCTTCAGCTACGATCAGAAATATTGAAGTAAGATTTAATAGGAGCGTGATAGTGGCAGACAAACCGTCCTGCCAGTTTTTCTCTTCTACGTGAAAGTGGCTGATCATTACATTCAGCTTTGATGACTCATTGGGGGTGCTCTTAAGAGACCCCATACAAGTTTTGAGAGATTTGTGCTGTATGATGTCCAATTTCTTTAATTTTGATCTAGAAGCTTGTCCAACCTTGTTTCATGTATCATTTTAACCCAAGAATCCAACCACCATACCATACCACCATTTTTCAAGGGGAGACTGTGCTAACAAGATTAGCCCAAATTTTTTCTTGTTTATTTTACACGCAATTTATTGTGACCGCAACAAATATGCTTTTTCAACATTTTTGAACATATTTTTATTAATATGCATTTCAACGCACCTCCAGCCTCTACCTCAGTTTATTTTGGAGGCGCAATATACGAGTTATACTGAGGAGGAAGCTGGAGATGCCTCAAAAAGGAATATAAATAAAAGCAAACGGAAAAGCTTAACTAAAAAAATCACCCAAACCATATAAGTGGACTAGTTTTAATCCTTAAATTGTTATGTAAATATAATAATTTGTTATGCATATTTTAAAATAAACAATAATTATTTAAAAAGTTCTTGAAAATATAATTTTATAATTGTAAACATACCAATGCTCCAAAATTTCACTTTGATTTACCATTCTGTTAAGAATCATATTAATACTTGTTTCAAGTAAATTTTGCTGATTTTTTTTTTTTTTTTTTTTTTGTACAAATGAAAGTTTTAAAAACTTACACAATAATATTAAAACAATTGTACACTTTTATTTATTTATTTTTAATGATAAATACATTTTATAATAATTAAATTTTATTCAAGTAAATTTGAAATGTGCGAAAATATGAAAATTTATCCTTTATCAAGATGTGTCATGTCTGATGATGAAAAGTGGATTTGAAAATAAATTATAACTATTTAAATATTTAATTAGTTTTAACTTGAGTATTTAAATAATTCATTGCAGCTCTTTGTCTAACGTGTTTTGTCTGTGATTTATGATGATCGTTAATGATAAACCCTTAGGTTCTTGGTTCATCATTTATGATGATCATTAATGATGAACCCTTGGGTCGTTTCGTCATTGCAGTACCAAAGAAACCTCAATGCTTTTGTACCTCATGCTTGTTTGTTTATGTTTGGATCAAAAACAGTTTCAAGATTTTCCTCTGAACTTTTTTCTTTTTACTTCTCTATCAAGGAAGATTGATGAGTGATATCGTGTTCCTTTCAGACAGGTAAAATAAATAAGAATTTGGGTAGAATAAATAAAATTTACCATGGTCAATAGAGTATAATATATGAAAAGGTTTGTATTTATCTGTTCAAGAAAACTGTGAAAAAAAATCCTCTTAAAATGAAGGAATAGAATGTTTTTAGATTGTATATTTAAAACACATATAGATTTCTTTGCATGTACATTTTATATATGTGCTGATGACGAGTCAGATTGTTGTCCTAAGGTACCGAGGTATTGGCCTGTAACTACATTAGGTACCTTTATGACATTTTAGATATCTGCATGTGAAACTTTTTTTAATTTTTTATTTTATTATTTCCTGTCATGTTCCAAGGAAGATGGCAAAACTCCAAAACCAATGAGAATTAGACGCAGATCGGAGACGATCAAACTACGGGTCCTTAACAGGACTTTGGAATTTTCAGCGTTCATAACTCAAACTAGTTTGAAACCATTGCTTCCAATGAAAAAGCAAAAGACTGAATACTAACAGGGCACTGGGGATTAATGGAATTTGAGGAAGATTGGTATAAACCAACATGAAGAAGTAGAAGACATCTACTAAAAGACCATGGTGCTACACTTATCTGCAGGAAAAAATGTTTTGGGATGTACAACGCAACCGTAGAAGAAATATAACCAGGCCTAATAATCAAATTCCTTGATGAATTGGGACTCAGCGGTGTGCTATAGGTGTAGAACTATAGGTACAATATCTCTCGAATAGCTCAGTCACCCTGAACTTTTTATATCTTATATTTAATCCAAGATTTATTTACAAAATGGATTTGAGTCTGTGTTGTTCTGAAGCTCCGTTTTTAGCTATGATTGCTGAAAGTTTAGCTTGTGTCATTAGTAAAAAGTTGCATTTTTGTAGATTTAAAATTATCAATTTTTTGTTTTCAAGTCATCATGGACGTCATTGCCGAAGACATAAATGTGAATTCAATGGAAGCTGAAGATACGAAGCAGGAAAAACCAGATTTAGAAGAAGCAGTTCTTCCGAGTGAATATGCTACGTCGCCACCTAGGCCTTCTGACATCCAGTCTGACATCCTCTGCCAGCCAGATGAGATGGAAAGCTCAGCACTAAAACCCCAATACGACTCAGATACAATCGTAAGCCCCATTAGAAAACTGGAAATATCTGACGATGGAAGTACGACTGATGAGAAAAAAACAAAAAATTCGAACGAAGAAAACTCAGCTCAAAATGGTATAAAAATGGAAATTGAGAATATTATAACACATGATTACGGCTTTGACAACATAAAACTGATCGCCAGTTCAAACGATTACTTCACACCTAATCAATATCTTGTTGGATGCAAGTGGTAATTATCTTTATTAATTACACACCTCTTTGTACCTTAGATTTTTTTATTTTCATATCACGTAGGTCACCTGATGGTTCTTGTTTATTGACAAACTGTGCGGACTGCAGACTTAGGCTCTTTGACCTTCCGAACCACTTGTATACCATGCAGGAGTTGGAAACAGACGAAGTTACCTGTCTTAAACCATCGCTGACAGTTGCTGATGGAGGGCTGATCTACGATTACGATTGGTATCCTCATATGTCTTCTTGGTCACCGCTGACCTGTTGGTAAATCGGTTCTTTATTCGGAATATTTCAATTAAATTTATATTAATTAAATATTTTACAGCTTTCTCAGTTCGAGCTCTGAAACTCCAGTTCATCTATTTGACGCGTTCACAGGCGACATCCGAGCATCATATAACGGTTTGAACTAGTAAGTTTTTGCTTTTTTTGTAAACCTTTTTTAAAGAAAATTAGGTGAAATTTTTAAATTTAATATTTTCCAGTGCAGAAGAAATAACGAACGCTTACAGTGTGAAATTTAGCCTTTCCGGTGATAAAATTTACTGCGGATACACAAACTTTTTGAAAATTTTTGATACAGCAATACCCGGGTCTAAATGTACAACCTTAAATTTGAAACGTATGTATTTTTTAAAGATAATTTTTATTTGATTAACCCATTAACCCGTAAAAAAATTTGATGGTAGATCTTAATGATCAAAGGGGGATGGTGTCTTGTATCGCTCAAAACCCAGCAATCACAAATCTTTTCGCAGCCGGTACCTATAGGAGCACGATTGGTATTGTTTTTTAATATTTTCTCCTTCAAATCTCCATCATTAATCATTCTCATTTCTAGGTCTGTATACGGATGAAAAGGACGCAATTTGCCTTATGAAAGGTCAGAAAGGTGGCGTGACACATTTAATGTATTCAACTGATGGAACAAAGCTGTATTCCGGCGGAAGGAACGACGAAGAAATTTTGTGCTGGGATCTGAGAAACCCAGGAGACGTTTTATACGTAATAAAACGTACTGTGAAGACCAACCAGAGGATATATTTTGATATGACTGCAGACGGTCGATTTTTAATGACAGGTTAATATTATTGAGTTACAATGTAATTAAACAATACGATTGATTTTATTGATGAACAGTTATCAGATTGGTGTTTTTTGTTTTTTTTTATAAATAAAAGGGTAAATTTTTATTTTTTCTTAGGAGGGACAGATGGTAAGGTGACGTTCTATGATATCACGAATGAAAGCACCATTGAGAATGAAAAGCAGTTGGACGAACTTTGCCACTTTACCCCTCATCTAGATTGCACCAATGGAGTCAGGTATAAAAAATAAAATAACATGAATTTAAAAATGGTTGGTTATTGAAAATTCTATTTCAGTTTCAACCGAAGGCTACCTGTAATTGCAACAACATCTGGGAAACGAAGCTATGTAGATATCGTAAGTGATGAGGAAGACGAAGAAATGTTCCATAAAGTCAAGGATTTAAAGAATATTGAGAACACCGTCAAACTCTGGTGGATAGGAAGAGTTAAACCATCGGAAATTTAGTCGTACTATTAAAAATCTATGTAAATATGTATATAATGCTACTGTAAATAAACATCAACATAACTTTCTTTTCTATCACGTCAAAAATCTGTTTGTGTGAGTATGTGTGTACTATGTTTTATCCTATAATGGGACTTTCCAAGGAATGATTATTCCGAGAAATTATGAACTCAATAATGTCCCAAGTGTGGATAGCCGGTGATCTTGGCTCAAAATCAAGAAATTTGTTTGGGAAATAAAATTATAAAAATATAAGATCAGAAAGATTCTTCTATATTGTTTCAATAACAAAAAGTATATATGATAAGACGTCAAGCTGTGGCTGTCACACAAAAAAATAAATAAAATAAATAAAGCATAAACCTTTGCTTTCAAGCAAATAAATAACAATAACGGGACATCAAAAGTATTAACAATGCGTGTCTTAAGGATAACCTAAAAAAATCAACTTTGTACAAAATAACAAAAAAAGAAAGATAAAACCAAAATAAAAATAGGTCATGCAACAGAAATGAGTTTTTGTGTAAAATAACAATTGATACAAATCTGATTGCTCAGGCTTACAATGATAAGGCTAGACTTATAATATTCAAGTAGAAAATTAGTTACATTTTATTGTCTAAAATGGGATTTCTAAAAGTGGGTTCCAGCTTTGTTATAAATTATATGATTTATTATTTTTCAACTCAACCGTACTTTTCATAAAAAATAATAAATCAATTAAAGTAATTACTTAGGTTCATAGGACCAACTAAAAACATATATTAAACTAAATTATGTTTGCTAAATGTCTGCAAAACAAATTTTCTTTCTTCTAATTATCCCTTTTGTTGTTTCTATTTATTTTTAATGTTATATATTATTTATTTAACACCCTTGTTTATTTGGAGGCATTACACTCGTTTCAAGCATTTGGAGGTATGCATTTACTAGAAATATTGAAGTTTAACTATGTTTTTATGATATACACTCACTTTTCTGCCTCTAACATTGAGGGGAGAGCCTGGGCATACGTTTGTTGTTAAAATCCTTATCACCACAGGTCTTCATGTCTTGGTATAGACCACGTGTATGTTTCTAGAACACGTACATTTTTTAAACCATGATACTTTGAAGTAAATGATGTGGAATGCAAATTTTGAAAATGAGCCACAAGTATCTGACGGACACATATTTTCAACGGTTGAATCACAGATAAATTTTTAAGAAATGACAAAATTACGTAAAAATGGGAAGTAGAAGCTTGAGGGACAACAAGTTACTGGCTAAGATTAACCAGTGCAAAAGCAACAGTCACAAACTAGCTATGAAGTAGTCTGTGTGTGACTTACAGATATAGGCGTTGAGGGTTATTTCATTGGTTAGCAACATTGTTATAGCCGATTTTTTAAAATTATGTATGAAGAGTTGCGTGGTGATTGTCTCCTAAACATCCTGATTCGCTAATTATTTCTAGGTCAAAGGACATATTGCCAAAATAACCTAACCAAATATTAACAGCAGCTCACTGCAGCACTCTCTGGCAGTAGTTTAGCAGTTACACCAACACCTAGCCATGATGCAGCTGCATTTCAATGCAAATGCAAAACACCCTAAAAATTCAACACAAGGGCAATAGATTTAATATTGATATGGCTTTATTATTGATAGTTAAAGTGTTAGCAGTGCAGCCATATTGTGACCAGGGTGGTGGTAGTGATTGCTGAGCTGCATGCCAGTAGTTTGTGCTACAGTTGCTGAGGTCAAGGTTGTGGTGGGCATGTTGCTGGTGTTGGGACCCTTGCTATCACTGTATTTCAGATTGTTTTCGTTGATCCTGCTGAGATTGTTGGGTCTTTCTGTTTTCCCCCCACTTTTTCCTCAAATTAACAAGACAAGATTTCAACCGAAGATGTTCAAAATGTTGCTTTTGTAAAGATACATATCTTTGCCATCTTTAATATATTTTGGTTAGGTTATTTTGGCAGGATGTCCTTTGACGTAGAGATAATTAGCGAACCAGGATGTTTAGGAGACAATCACCACGCAACTTTTCATACAAAATTTTAAAAAATCGGCCATAACAATGTTGCTGACCAATGAAATTGAAAAATTTAAAAAGCGTTGCTGGATGAGTAGTAGCCAGCTGCTTGCTGAACTTCTAAAGGCCTCCTCTGCTTTCTATATTGGCTTCATAGACGGCACCTGGCCACAATGAGGCTGCATTGTAGCAGCAAACACACTGATAACACTTAAATTATCAATAATAACATAGCCGCAAAATCTATCTTCTTTTTTTGTTTAATCTCTAGTGCAGTTTACTTACTACTATAGTAGGAATTTGCAATTGCTTATGGAATCCCAGATAGTTTGGGTTTTTGATGCCTGAACGGGCTGTTATTTTTTATTGTATCACAATCTGTTGGTGTTTGGAGGTGAATAAGCTTAAAAAAAAATCAAGCATCAATCTATGTTCAGTAAGACACTTTCAAATTAACTTTTCTTAATTTCAATCATATAATTACTACAAAATTATTTATTTGATAAAAATTATTTTTCATTATGGTACACTACACCTATTTTGGGTGTTTAGGTATATTTAGACATCTAGGAAAATGTTCTGCAAAAATGTAGAAAATTAGTTACATTTTATTGTCTAAAATGGGATTTCAAAAAGTGGGTTCCAGCTTTGTTATAACTCAACCGTACTTTTCATAACAAATAATAAATCAATTAAAGTAATTACTTACGTTCATAGGACCAATTAAAAACATATAATATATTAAATTCAATTATGTTTGCTAAATGCCTGCAAAACAAATTTTCTTTCTTCTAATTATCCCTTTTATTGTTTCTGTTTATTTTTAATGTTATTTATTATTTATTTAACACCCTTGTTTATTTGGAGGCATTACACATGTTTCAAGCATTTGGAGGTATGCAATTACCAGAAATATTGAAGTTTAACTATGTTTTTATGATCCATTAAAAATCTGTCAAAATAGATTTTTTATTATTATGTGTTATTGTGAATTATTTATTGTTTTGCAATAGTTATTGCTTATTCTAGCATGGTTGTAGTTATTTCTTGGTGCATGATTGGGCAAAAATTGAAATTCTAAGATCAGTCTGCCAGGCTAGATTTTCTTATTTTTTGTTTATTTATGCTTCCATTGATAGTTATTTGTTGTTTTATAATAAATATTGTTTATTGAGAGATGACACACAAATTGTAGACGTTTTATGGTAACAGTCATGCAAAAATCAGTCATTAGATGATCTAAGATCCTCAAAATCAGTCAATATATTTTTCTCTCTTCATTATTGATTTATTTATTGTTCTATAATAATTACTTTTATTCTTGCACACTACAATGTTTTCGTTGGGGTTTTGGACATGAATGTAAAAAATGGAGATAGTAAAATCACTAAATATCTGCCTGGCTAGGTTTTTTATATTCTGTTTTTTTTTTCCTTCCATCGATAATTATTTTTTGTTCTATAGTAAATATTGTTTATTGAAAGGTGTCACACATATTGTAAGCGTTTTATGGTAACAAACACGCAAAAATCAGATCCCATGATGTTCTGTTCCCTCAAAATCAGTCACAATAAATTTTTTTCTCTTCACTATTGATTTATTTATTGTTCTATAATAATTATTTTTATTTTTGCACACTACAATGTTTTACTTGTATCTTTGGGCATGGATGTGCAAAAATGGTTGTACTAAAATCACCAAACATCTATCTGGCTTGGATTTTTTTGTATTCTGTTTATTTTTGCTTCTATTGATAATTATGTGTTGTTTTATACTAAATAGTGTTTATTGACAGATTTGCACATATTTAGTTGTTTTATGGTGCACAAACCTGCGAAAACCAAGTCCCATGATGTTATAAGATCCTCAAAATCAGTCATAATAGATTTTTTCTCTTCAAGGCGTTTTATGGTGTACAAGCCTGTGATAATCAAGTCCCCTGATGTTCTAAGATCCCTCAAAATCACTTAGATTGGATTTTTTCTCTTCATCATACATTTATTTATTGTTCTATAATAATTACTTTTATTCTTGCACACTACGATGTTTTACTTGTATTTTTGGGCATGAATGTGCAAAAAGGGTTGTACGAAAATCACTAAATATCTATCTGGCTAGATTTTTTAAATATTCTATTTATTTTTTCTCCTATTGTTAATTATTTGTTGTTTTATACTAAATATTGTTTATTGAGAGATGTTGCACTTATTTTATGGTAACAAACAAGCGAAAATCAAGTCTCATGAAGTTCTAAGTTTCCTCAAAATCTGGGGTCTGGATTTTTTCTCTTAAACATACATTTATATTTTGTTCTATAATAATTATTTTTATTCTTGCACACTGTAATGTTTTACTTGTATTTTTGGCCATGAATGTGCAAAAATGGAATTCTAAAAATCACTAAATATCTATCTGACTAGATTTTTTATATTCTGTTTATTTTTGCTTCTATTGATAATTATTTGTTGTTTTATACTAAATAGTGTTTATTGAGAGATTTGCATATATTTAGTTGTTTTATGGTGCACAAACCTGTGAAAACCAAGTCCCATGATGTTATAAGATCCTCAAACTTAGTCATAATAGATTTTTTCTCTTCATTATTGATTTATTTATTTTTCTATAATAATTATTTTTATTTTTTGCACACTATAATGTTTTACTTGTATTTTTGGCCATGAATGTGCAAAAATGGTGATTCTACAATCACTAAATATCTGTCAGGATAGATTTATTTTTTATATTTTCCCTTCCATTGTTAATTATTTGTTGGTTTATAGTAAATATTCTTTATTGAGTGGTGTCGCAAATATTGTAGGCATTTTACGGTGCACAACCTATGAAAACCAGGTCCCGTGATGTTCTATGATCCTCAAAATCAGGCAAAATAGATTTTTTTCTCTTCATTATACATTTATTTATTGTTCTATAATAACTACTTTTATTCTTACACACTACAATGTTTTACTTGTATTTTTGGCCAAGAATGTGCAAAAATGGTGATTCTACAATCACTAAATATCTGTCAGGATAGATTTATTTTTTATATTTTTCCTTCTATTGATAATAATTTATTGTTTTATAGTAAATATTGTTTATTGAGAGATGTTGCACTTACTGTAGGCATTTTATCGTGCACGAACATGTGAAAATCAAGTCCCCCTGATGTTCTAAGATCCCTCAAAACGGATCCCTCACTCAGACTGGATTTTTTCTCTTCATCATAGATTTATTTATTGTTCTATAACAATTATTTTTATTCTTGCACACTATAATGTTTTACTTGTATTTTTGGCCATGGATGTGCGAAAATGGAGGTACTAAAATCACTAAATATCTATCTGGCTAAATTTTTTATATTCTATTTATTTGTCCTTCCATTGGTAATTATTTGATGTTTTAAAGTAAATATTGTTTATTGAGAGATGTTGCACTTACTGTAGGCATTTTATGGTAACAAACAAGCGAAAATCAAGTCTCATGAAGTTCTAAGTTTCCTCAAAATCTGGCGTCTGGATTTTTTCTCTTCATCATAGATTTATATTTTGTTCTATAATAATTATTTTTATTCTTGCACACTATAATGTTTTACTTGTATTTTTGGCCATGAATGTGCAAAAATGGAGATTCTAAAAATCACTAAATATCTATCTGGCTAGATTTTTTATATTCTGTTTATTTTGCTTCCATTGATAATTATTTATTGTTATATAATAATTATTGTTTATTCTAGCACACTAAACGTGTTTTTGGACAACAATGTGCAAGAAATGAGTCAAAAGACATTGCAGAGTAGTTAACAATTATTTCAGAATGTTTATTTCCTAATTCTATTGTCATATATTATCTATTTTATAATAATTGTAGGATATGTTCTTTTTTTCAGTAGTTTGAATGTGTTTAAACATTCCAAAACGCCCGAAATTCAGGTTAATTTATTTTTATTGTTTCTGTTAATCTTGATAATTATTATATTTTTTGTTTATTTTGAACAGAACTGGTGTTTTGAGCAACTGAGGGTTTAAATACGTCCAAAAATAAAGTAGACCTATTTTCCACTAGGATTATTAATTTTTTTTTATAGATTTTACGCGTGTTTTTCAGACATTGTGGTGTTTAACGGTTAGGTATATTCGGTGAAGATTTGACTTATTAAGATATTTTTTGTTTTTGTTTATTTCTATTATTAAATTACAATGTTTAGCTGATTATTATGGAGTTTCGATGCTATTTTAGGGTGAAAAATACACGACATTATCGTTTCTTTCTTTTAAAAGTAAATGAATTATTTTTTTAAAGCTGCGGTCTTCGTCAATGGAAGCCAGTAATTTCGCCCGCGATCTTTCCATTTCCGCCTCTTCCGAGGGAAATTTACATTCTGCCGGCTTATAGTCGGATCATCCCTGTTCCACTATCGGATCAGTTAAAACAGGAATAAGATAAGTGGGTCCAAAGATCGATGCCCCACCTGGGGATCACTATTCCGTTGCACTTCCTCGAACTCTCCACAGCCCATCTCACGTCTCTTCAGAGTTGACTCCGTGGTATTTTTTTGTACAAAGGTGAGCACATTCCTGTTAAACTGGCCTGCCCCCTGAAAGGGTCTGGTCGATTATGTAACATTCTCGTGCTTGTATTCTTTATATATATGTGTATCTTTTTCTATTTAAAGTCAGACTGTATTTTTAAGAAAATTTTTTAGGTTCAAGAAGATTTTCATGTTGAAACCTGTTGCTTTTTTTTCATATATGAAGTTCTCTTATTTCAAAACGTATTATTAATTATTTTATTTATAGTGTTTTTTATAGTTTTAATAATTTTTTAAATTTAATCATTCTGCTTTTTAACATTTACGCGCAATAGAATCGCAATTATGAAATTTTTCGGATAACTATTCGTCCGAGCAAGTGGGATTATCAAGAACAGGTCAGTGCGTGCAATGATCCAACTCCAATAAACTAATTTCCAAAATACTATTTATTCAAAATTTCCGGATATGATGAATGTTCAGACATGTCTGATATGCAGAAAATCTGATCAGGGATGATGGACTTGCGAACAAAAGACAATTATTTAATAAAACCCGGGGATTTTATACTAAACTACTCGTTTAAATTTTTTGAACTGATGCTTGCATCTCGTAAAACAAAAAGCGAACTAATATAAACTATTGAAATATTTTAAAAAAATTAACGGTCCAAATTTTTCTTATTTTGAATTTTTTCTTGTAAGTTTTATAAATTTTTAAACTTAAATGGCCTCGTGCTGAATCGTTGGGTTGCTCATTGGGTCCATCCGCGAGAAAAGACAGGCCGCATGTCGGTTCAGCATGAGTTCATAAATTCACGCTCAGATCAACTTTGAATTGCCTAGATAGTTTCTTTAAAGCCTGACCCAGAACTTAATTTTTATTAGTCTCTTAATTATTATTATGTTTTACCACTTATGAGCGCATCATAATTGAAAACTGTAAATCATTATTTCACTGCTGTACATGCTATTTGATTTTAAATCGCCTCGCTTGCAAGTTTCTTTAAAACCTGATCCAGAACTTACTCTTTATTAGTCACTTAATTATTATTTTGTTTTTACCACTTATGACTGTTATAATTAACAAGTAAAAATTTTAATTTCACTGCTATACATATTTGATTTTTGAATAGTAATATAATAGAATTATTTAAATATGGGAAAGAAAATTTAATTATCGAAATGTTTCTTATTTTGAATATTTTCCCCTAACTTAAATTACCTAGCTTGCAAATTTCTTTAACACTTGATCCAGAACTTAATTTTTATTAGTCACTTAATTATTATTATGTTTTTACCACTTATGAATATGTCATAATTAACTAGTAAAAATCATAATTTCACTGCTGTACATAATAGTTAATTTTTGAATACTATTATAATAAAAGTATTGAGTAAAAATGTAAAAGAAAAAGGGAAAAAGAAAATTAATTGTCGAACTGTTTCTTATTTTATATATTTTCCCCTTAATTAAATCGCCTAGCTTGCAAATTTTCTTAAAACCTGATCCAGAACTTAATTTTTATTATTATATTAATTGTTATTATGTTTTTACCATTTATGAGTATATTGTAATTAACAAAGAGAATCATTATTTCACTGCTGTACATAATATTTGAACTTAAATCGCCTAGCTTACAAGTTTCTTTAAAGCCCTATCCAAAATTTAGTTTTCATTAGTCTCTTCATTTTTATTGTATTTTTACCACTTGTGACTATGTCAGAATGTACAAAGTGAATCATTATTTTACTGCTGTACATGATATTTGGCATTCTTAATAATTTTTTGTGTGTTTATCATTAGATACAAGTTATTCAGGCAAGAATTTTGACTTTTGCCTGTTGCAACTGGATTCATTTGACAAAGCTTCTAAGATCGCAAAAAAATTAGACTATTCTATTGATAATATTTCCTGTTTTATGAGAATTATTGCAAACCGTACATATTGATAGTGGTTTCATGGTGTAAAACATGCAAAACCAAAGTATGCTTTAAGATTGCTAAAAATATGTCATATTAGATTTTCTTTTTTTTGTTTATATATGATTCTATTGATTATTATTTCTTGAAAATCATTATTTCACTGCTATACTTGATATTAGATTTTTAAGTATTAATATAGTAAAACTAGTTAAATATGGAAAAGAAAAAGGAAAGAAGGAAATTTAATAAAACGAAAATGTTTCAACGGTTTGTTATTTTGATATTTGACCTTAGCTTTTATAAAATTTAAACTTAAATCCCCTAGGTTGCAAGTTTTTAAAAATTCATTCCAGAACGTACTTTTTATTCGTCTTTTAATTATCATGTTCTTAGCACTTATATGTCAAGATTAACAAAGAGAATCATTATTTCACTGATGTAATGATTTCATCATGTTTGGTATTTTTAATATATTTTTTGTGTGTATCAAAAGATGAAAATGATATTTAATCAGGCAGGGATTTTGACTTGAGCCTGTTTCGACTTGATTCATTGAACAAATCTTCTATGATTGATAAAAATCAGCCAGATTGTATTTCCTTCTTTTCTATTTATTTCCAATTCAAATGTGAAAATTACAAAAGAAAGAAGACAATTTAAATCAAATAGAACATAAATTGTCCGAATGTTTCTTATTTTGAATATTTTCCCATCTTTAAATCACCTAGCTTGCAAGTTTTTCAAAACTCGTTCCAGAACTTACTTTTTGCCTTTTAATTATTATGTCCTTAGCACTTGTGAGTATGTCAAAATTAACAAATAAAATCATTATTTCATGCTGTACATATTTGATTTTTGAATACTAATATTAATAAAACTATTTAAATATGGCAATGAAAAAGGAAGGAACTAAAATGAAAATTTTCCAAATATTTCATGTTTTGAACATTTTCCCTTAGCTTTTATTCAATTTTAAACTTGAATCACTAGCTTGCAAATTTCTTTAAAATCCTATTCAGAACTTAGTTTTTTATTAGTCAGTTAATTATCAAAATGTTTTCACCTCTTATGAGTATGTCATAATTAATAAAGAGATCATTATTTCACTGATGTTTACGATATTGGTTTGTAATAATAATTTAATTTTCATGTGTATCATTAGACAAAACATATAGTTAATCGGGCAGGGGTTTTGACCTGGGCCGGTTTCAACTTGTTTTAAACTTGTTTTATTTCTGATTTTATTGATTATTCAATTCCTGTTTTGTAAGAATTATTGTTTATTATTGCACACCATTTTTAGTCGTTTCAAGGTGTAGAAACATGCAAAAATGTAGTCAATCTACGCTTTAAGATTATTTAGGGATTGTTAGGGAAAAAATCCAGCTTTGGGTAGTTCACTTAGTCAGTAGATTTCTCGTTGCATCCTGTGAATTTATTAAATTAATAGATCGTGTTAATAATTTTTTTTTGTTTTTACAGTTTTAACAATGTCTCAGGGAAGAGATGAACGAATCAACCTAGTCCACAAAGAGCTAGACGAAGTTGCATTGCGCCTTGTAAGTCCGACTTGTAATGTCGCATCTATCGTGGACGTCAGCAACAACAATTTAATGTAGTTACCTTTTTAGTAATGACTTTAGTTACCTGACTGGCTTAATTAAATTTCTAAACGATGTAAATTTTTTTTTCTTTACAGAGATGTTTCATTCCTGCAATATTTCCGTGTCGTACGATCCGTCATATTGGATCACAATAATTTAACCGAGAACATCGAATTCCCGCACATGCCGAATGTGAACCTCCTGTGGTTGAATTACAACCGGATCAACCACCTTTTCCCGTTCATCCTGAAACTGAAGAGGAGCATGCCCAACCTGAAACACCTGTCGATGATGGGGAACCCCATTGTGCCGTCTTGCTGCGAAGACACCTACTACGAATACGTGCAGTATCGGCTCTACGTGTTGTCTTGGTTGGACAAATTAGAATACTTGGACGACAGTAGAGTGACCAAGTACGAGAGAGAAGAGGCTAAGAGATTCTTCAAACAAAAGCACAGGAGCAGGCATTCCATCATTTCAAGTGTTTTACAAAACGCGTACGGGAGAGTTAGGAATATATTAACACCCCCTCATGTCCAGGGTGAGAGAGTCAGTTCGGATATTGTGTGAAAAATATCTTTCTAAAATTTTTATTATTATTTTTTACATATATATATTTTTTTTTTGTAAACCTGAGAGATATTTTGATGAAGTGATGATAGTTCCTAACAACAATCTTTTATCAAGTATGGTTAGCTAAATAATTATCTACATATTGTAGAAAAGGTTAACATATTGAATATGTACTATTTTGTTGAATTGTATTGTTTTACTTTTGTAATTTTTCAACAAAATTTAAATTTCAACTGGCTTTTCTTTTGAAAATCCCATTTTAAAATGTTTAAAGAACGCTTCTTAACTGATCTATAAGCTATGGTAAAAAAAAAAAAGTAAATAAACGATAAAAGCTACTAATAATAATGATGACTAATAATAAAAAGAAAACTGACCATTAGCTACTTTAAAAAAATAAATAAAATACCCAGGATAGTACGAGCTTATATGAATAATAAATACTTTCTTGCATATTTATGATTTTCGGATAAACTTATTGACTAGCAATTAATTTTTGTGTTTATTGGACTGATGATTAAATTTTTTTTTAAATATATAGCAATAGAAAGAAAGTATCAAAGATGCGTTTAATCTTATCAGCAGTATGACTATCCTTTAATACGTACATAGTTAATCCTATTTTGTAGGTTTTTGAACCGTATCAACAGAATTGGCTATTTATCGTTCTTTTGATCTCTGTCACAAACATATAAAAGCTCAAAAGTCAATTTTCGTATTAAATTTATTTATTTTTATTTGAAAAGAGGCATTTATAAAGATCTTGTTGACCTATGTAGTGGTATTGAAAATTTAATTTGTAAAAAGAAATGTATTTAATATGCGTTGTATGAATGAATATTTATTAGATTGTTAATATATGTAAATTTATAATTTTCAATAAATGTTTTTTAAGAAGAGACTTTTTGTTTGCGTTTATTCTGTACAAATTATTTGAGTATTAACATTGGTGAACATTTTTTTTTTTTACAATAAACTCCTTTATATTATACTCATTACTCATTAAGCCATAGGGCTCATAAATCATAAATGTTGGCTACCTTTGCACCAAAGGCACCTCATAGCATTACGTGGTAATTTTGGTAATTTTAAGCAATATGTAAATGTCTTAAGTTTACAATACTATAATGATTTACATTTCTTTGACAATAGAACTAAAGCATTTTCTCTCTAATCTGTATTTTAAAAAAAATTAATTTGAAGAATCCCAATATAAACAATTAAATTCTAAAAGTTTTAGCAAACGGATTTATTTTTCATCTGGATTATAAAAAATTTGTAAGCTTTTGTAACATTTCATTTTTTTTAGTACATTCATTTCGATGCTCTTTTTGCCTCCTCAGAACATTTTTTATTTTAAATGACAACAATTAATCGGTGTCAAGAGAGGGAGATATAATAAAAAATATAACATTGTAAAAGCTTAATAAGTTCTTATAATCAATGATTCATTTCAGTTATCAACTTGTCAGCAACTTTTGTACCAAAGATGCCACATTTAGCCTTCTAAGAGGCAAAACAAACATCTTGATTTTGCAAACAGGATAGGTTCTAAATGTTAGTGTGTATGTTGGAAAAATTGATCCATTAAAAAAAATCTAATTAAATCTATGAGATGTCTACATATCTATCTATCTAAGAGATGCACAAATAGCAGTATTTTTTTATTTTTTTTAATTTATTTATTTTTTTTTTAAAATGAGGGTTTGCAACAGCAGAGGTCATATAAACCCTCACAGTGCTGGTGTTTTGGAAAAAAACCCATTTGGAAGTATGTCGGGTTGGAATGCAGGGCCACTGGATTTGAACCCAGGACCTTTACCTTACAGTGATGAGCGCCGTGTCAAAGACTAAACCTTGCGGCCACTGACGCCCCTATAAATACCTTACAGAAATATTATAGCATGATCTCTCTTGGGCCCCAGGATATCTCTTTCAAGGAGGTAGAACTATCTTATTTGGTAAAAAAGGGTTTAATTGGATAAATGCTCCAGTTTAAGTGGTACTGCCTCTGGTTACAAACAGATTTATCAATCGTTATAGCCTTATGAATTCGCATATTAGCCAGAATATGTATTCTGTTGAGTTATCACATGTAGGTTTTTGGGGGGAGGAAGGCTAGCATGAAAAAAAGGGCCATGGGTAGTGTCTAAAAGCCAAGGGTCGATCACGCTGAGCACTCGGCTGTCACAATCCCAGCATATAATCTTCATGCAGGGAAGGAACATTGTTGTGCTGGGTTGTAGATTTTGATGGTGGTGGATTGTTGGGCCTCTTCTTTGGAAGACAATTTCACTTCAGAATCTGAACTCAGGTAATTGATCTCACTGTATCTGAATATAGATCTATCTGAATTTCTCCCTCAGATACCAGTCTCATACCTGGCTCAGCCTGGAGTGTCCATGAGTTGTGAACCTTGGATGGTTAGACCTCGGGTCTGTACTGATGAGGCCGTGGGATAGATCCTTACCTCATAAGCACTGTATGACCGGCTGTTTATGAAACTGGACGAGGGCTCGGTGGATTGATAGCTTGATATGAAATGTTTGAACCAGGAGTGGATCAATTTGTTGGCCAAAGGAATTTTGTCGTGGATAATGAGGTTGTTGGTAGTACGGAGCTTTAATCATTTCTGAGGAGAATGTGGTGGACATTGGATAGCTTGGCTGAACCCCAAAGTTCCATTCTTATGTCCAAAGTGGTCACAGTAATCACTTTATAAAGTTATTTGAGATTTGATGGTTAAAACAGATTTCAATCCTAAAAGTTTGCTGTTAAGTTGCCTCATTAGACTTGTGTGGGAATTCCTTATCAGTCTGCCATCTAGATATTAGACATATGTATTTTGTCTTCAGTGGATGTAACTCCTTGTTTTTGATGTACAGTAGTTAGAACAAAACTGTTTTTTCTTTGTTAATGTACGCTGTGCGCATTTTTCTTCATTTAGTCTTGACCTCCACTTTTTGCACCATTCTTTGGAAAACTCAAGGTGTTCTTGGATATCGGAGTTACTTAGATCGGATTCCAGTTATAAGATAAAATTGTGGTGTATTTAATAATAAATAAGGGAATCAGGCCTTATAAAAGGTTAAGTGTTATGCATGCTCCTAAATAAAGTAACATTTGAAGCCCCCTCTCATTTTTAGTAAAGATAAAACATTCCTTTTTTTATTTGAAAAAACAATTCATTATTTGCACAGCTTTTTTCAAATGGTTTTAACAGTTCACTAACGAACACAAAAGCAAGATTAAAAATTGAGACCAAGAATTATTTTTGCACACGCGAGACTCTCCTAATGCTAATGTTCTGATACATGATGTTGGAGCAGTACCATTTATAGGTCTGAATAAAAATAAACACAATCTTCAGGCCCAGTAAACATTAGGGCATATGACGTTCTGCAGTTTATGTGTCAAACTCTCACAGTTTGAACACAGCATAAAATATTTGAATTGGTTGAATAACAACTTTGGTATTGTAAACTGAGAAATCAAACTGAAAATAAATTATATAAAAAATATATTTTATAAAAAAATATATACAAAAATATTATATAATGTCGTATAAAAAGTCTATAAGTACAAAAAATTCGTATATGTATATATCACTTTGATCACTGGTAGAAAAGCAAGACAAATTCTTAGGTATAGAAAAATACACACTATATGGCAGTAGAAAATTAAAAAAGAGAAAAATGACTCCATTTTCCTAAAATAAACCTCATGCGATTAAAGATTAGGTAACTTTTGCCTGTCTCTAATTGTTAATTAGGACTTTATAAAATTATGTTGTTATTTCTTTCCAAAAAAGTTGTGCGATGGGAATTCGTGACCGAAACCTTCGTGGTCGTACCCATTGTGGCCGTATGCTTCAGGGCCAAATCCATTATGGGGCTGTTCTTCTTTCCAAAGGTTCAGATTGATTACCGGTATGGCATGTGTGTTTTCACATGGCAGAAGTGGGTTCCTGAAAAATGAAGTTTTAAATTAGTTACTGTTTATAGAGAAGAGGAGACAAAACCGACTGACGGGACTTTTTCAAAATTAATCTCAAATAAAATTCCAAGAGATATACCTGGATTCAAACCCAGAACTTTAGTGTTGCAACCATGTGGTTGGACATCCAACAATCCTTGCAGACAAGGGGTCAGAACCACATTTACTTTTTCAAAATTAATCTCGAATAATATTCATGGCAGGAATGTGTGGTGATTAGTGACCGTTAATCGATAATTATTCAGAAATCGTGAGATGCGGTCTGGTGTTATGTAGGTTTCAGAAAAACATTTTCTTTATTGTGCCAACGTTTCGATCTTTATTGAGATCATCTTCAGGGCTCACAGTGTTTGTCTTCTGTGTAATTGTGCCATTCTTGCGTGTCGTGTTGAGAGTGTGAGATCGAAACGTTGGCACGATAAAGAAAATGTTTTTCTGAAACCTACATCACACCAGAACGCATCTCACGATTTCTGAATAATTCATGGCAGGATTCGAACCCAGAACCTCTACCATTGCAACCACGTGGTCAATGGTTAGGGCATCCGACTATCTTTTGGGTGTTGTGGATGAGGCTCAGAATCAGTTTTATTTTTCCAAAATTAATCTCAAATGTAATTTTAAGGGTTATGCCAGGATTCAAATCTAGAATCTCTAGCGTGATGTGAACGAGACCACTGTGGCCAAATGGTTAGGGCATCCGACTATCCTTTGGGTGTTGTCGATGAGGCTCAGAATCAGTTTTATTTTTCCAAAATTAATCTCAAATGTAATTTTAAGGGTTATGCCAGGATTCAAACCTAGAATCTCTAGCGTGATGTGAACGAGACCACTGTGGCCAAATGGTTAGGGCATCCGACTATTTTTGGGTGTTGAAGATGAGGCTCAGAATCACTTTTATTTTTCCAAAATTAAACTCAAATGTAATTTTAAGGGTTACGCCAAGATTCAAACCCAAAATCTCTAGTGTGATGTGATCGTGACCACTGTGGCCAAGTCGATAGGGCATCCAACTATCCTTTGGGTGTTGTCGATGAGGTTCAGGATCACTTAAATTAATCTCAAATATAATTTTAAGGGTTATGCCAGGATTCAAATCCAGAATCTCTACTGTTGCAACTACAATCAAGTGTTTAGGGTATCTGCCTCATGTTGAATCTTGGCACTAATTTGCGATACCCAATGGGTAGTTTGACATTAAGCCCTACTGTATGACATACTTTTCTTTACTTAGAAAATGTGAGCTTTGGTTGTACTTCTATATCTTTTTAATTTTTTTTATATTTTTTTATTTGAAAAACCACAAATATTAAGACTTACTTTTCACCAATAACCCTGAATCCTTCAGGTTGCATGTATTGAATGTGATCACCATTGTCACAGAAGAGCCTTGAGACTGTAGCTTTCCTTATTTCTCTCAATTGATCTGAAAACATGAAAATTATAAGCTTGTCTTAATTGCACAACGATAATAAAAATGTAATCAGTTTCAGAAATTAATTTTACTACCCCTTTTAAATTATCATAAGAAACATACCCAAAGTAAAAGAGTTCTTTTGGTTTCCATTTTCATAAAAGAATCTGTCTCCGACTCTCGTTCTGTAGAATTGTTCGAGCATGATGCAGAGGAATGTAGGACCGGTCAGTGTGTCCTTGACGTGTGCTTCGAGGGAACCACCGACAACCAGATCGACGTCGTCAGGATGAGCGTAGAGGAGAGCCAGTTTTTCAACATTCTGAAAACAAGATATTTATTACAAGACGTTTCGATACATGAACAGTTTTTTCCTTTTGACTGTCACCTCGGGCATGATGTAGTCCATAAAGTCTTTGAACTTGCGGGCCCTTGGAAGGCCACAGAATTCTCTGTAGTCGTTGTATGATGCGATTCCATGGTCTCTGCCCCTCTGTATGTCAATAGCTCTCAGATCTCTTCCAAAAGGCATTCCATTTCTGAACAAATAATCAGTAACCTGCAAGCAAAGGCTTGTTAAAATGTTAATAGAGTAAACAATAAAAAAATATGGTATATTTGGTAAATAACATTAGTATACTAAAGAAAAAAGGTTTTCATAATATAAACAATAAAAACAGTTTGTGTGTTTCCTTTGGTTTGCAAGGTAAAGAATTTGTAATTTGATCATTACCGATCATCTTGATCTGTCTATCTTTGTTAGGTTGGTCTGTCATACACATTTCGGCATTTCACCATCTTGAGCATGTCACACCAAGTATGTATCTAATAAATCAAGTTGATCAGTAACGATCCAATCACAAATAAAATATTATCGAATCAGTCCCAGAAAATGTCTATACTTAGAATCTTCAAATTATTTGCAATAAAAATTCCAAAAATTAAAAATTAGAATTTTTAAGATTCGCTCTGCTTACCTAATAAAAAGTGACAAAATAATTAGTTTATTGATTTTTACCTCACTAGTAATGAAAGGATCGATTTCCTCTTGGTTTTGTGTAGCCATTCCTCTAGTTAATTTGTCCATGTTATCACCCTCTTCAATTACACTCGGCTTGTTGAAGAAGTCGCTGAGACGGAGAGAGCCGTACACGTGTCTTTCTTCACCCAAAAGGCTAAAAAAGATTTGTTTAATTTAATCTGAAATCCATTTGGTTTAAAAGTTGCTTACTGAAGATGTCCTTGGATGGAAGAGTGGAAGTATCTGAATGCAGCAGTGGCATGTCCGTTCAAAACACTAGGATCAACATCATCCCTGTAGTCATTGACGAATTTGTCCGTTTTGTACAGTAAACCGTACTTCATCATGTTGTTTGTTCCTGAAGAAGTATATTTTTTAAATTAGGGAATAATATATTATATATGATGAAAAATACCGATGAAAATTGGGAGCCATTCAGCATAGTTGATGTGTTGGTACTCGGCAATGACGATCCTTCTTGCTTCTTGGAATGTTTTCTCATCATCCCAATGAGGGTTCAAATGCTGGAGAACATCAGCTACTCTGTTATGCTCCCTCAACATGATGATTTGAAGAACAGTAAGTTGGGGATTCTGGTTAGCTCTAACATCACCTAAAATCATTATTGTTAGAAAAATCAAACTATTTTATATTTTTTCAACGAACCAAATCTGTAGCAAGGTTCATCGTCATCTTGAGCTTCACAAGTAGCACTTTTGTTAACTGCAGCAGGAGGCCATTGTCTTCCATGCCTGACGTCAACTCTGAGTCGACCTCCTTGACCTTCACGAAGAGCATTCATTACCTGCATGTTTGAACCGTATACCATAGAAGCGTCCATGTAGTGAGTGACTACTACGATCTGTGAGTAAAGAAAGGAACAATGTAATGTTTTGTACATGGGCAGTCAATGCAAACAAGAGACCTGTTCATGTGGTGAATGAGGAGGAACACAGCCTCTGTCGACATCTGTGGTGGACCTCATAAAGTTCATACACATCTGGCCAAACTTGGAATACAGGGGGTCATCTGCAGGGATCTCGATGGGGAAGCACTGGGCAGGGGCTTGCTCAAGAGGGACTTGAAGCCTACCGTCTGGACTGCAGCAATGGTTGGCAAGTGGTTCTAAACATTCAGCATTGTTGTAACCGTTTTGTGAACACTTGGCACACCAAAGGACTTACTGGTCTGGGTTGTACCCATAGACATGGACATATCATGGGTGATGAGCTGTCCCCATTGCATAGAGACCAATGTCCAAACGGGATCAGGGATATTGTGATCAGGGAAAAGAACAATGCTGACAAGACGAGCTCCTGGTAGTTTGTGACCAGTGACTGATGCTGGAGGAAGGTGAACTCCTTTAAAGGAAAAAATAAATTAATTAATAATAAAGAAAAAATTTTAAAATACTTAATTTGGTATTGCCACACTAGCAGATTTTTAGGAATTTTAATTTGACCTTTACTGATCATTTTGGACTGCCTAATCTTGCTTGGTTAAAAATGGATGGATGTGCTGAAAGTAACATGAAAAATTTAACTTACAGAATTTCAGCTTGGTCATTACTGATCATTTTGGCTGTCTATCTTTATTGATTAGATCTGGCAGATTTTTATACATTTTGTTATCTTCAGAGCTGGGTCCAGGTTCTCATAACCAAACCAGTGTGGATAGGTTGGCCAAAATGATCAGTAATGACCAAATTAAAGGTCCACCCCACGAATTGAAAAACCGTTTTATGGTTCATTTTTACCCAAAAAGAAAACAAACATACATGGCTTGACAGGAAAACAAAACTAGGAAAATCTAAGTTATTATTTTAGCCAATGACAAGTTTTTTATGTTTTTACAGCCAAGTTATGATCATACCAATTAGGACGGCAACTGGCTCTCTATTTTCTTAATCCTACTGCTAACCTCTCTGTGCCTCAGGGCCATGAAAATGTGGATAAAATAACACAACTAACAAACACAAATACACATAAAAACATAAGCAAGATAAAATATGATAGTCTGGTTAGCATTCAAACTACCCTAGAGTAGCCGATATTACTTGCAGTCATTGAGGGTAAGCCCATCCATTCGTACTAATAAATTACATTCACACTCCACAATTCACACTACCCCAGAGTGCTTGATAACCTCGTGGTAAGTAGGGATAGGCTCCATTCACACTAATGAATACATTCATTCCAATAAATAAATAATATTACATACATAAAGCTACAAAGATCAATTCACAGTTAAAAAATTATTGTTAAACCCTTTCAGAGAGCAAAGGGAATAAAATAATAATAAAAGGGAATAAAAACGAAACAATTATTCCAGGGAGAAACATGTTCAACATATTCTAACCTACAAGTGATGGCAAAGGAAAATATATGCAAATTTTTCAGCTTGGATTAAGGTTAATGTTATACTTCTCATTAAAATAAATAAATAAATACCATCAGCGTATCTTGGTGGAAGGATCCTGTTGTATTTCGTATTTGGTCTTCCGAGTCCAGCATCCCTCAAGTTGTTGCAAGATCCATCTACTGTCCTGTATTTTGAGTCTTGACATGGACCGTACACCTTCGAGGAGCAGGTTGGTTCTGGATTTGGAGCAGCGCCATAAGGAAACCCTACGCTAAGACTAAAGAAAAAATGAAACATTTTGAAAAATCCTTTAAACACAGATTTTACATACGAGTTGTCAAGCTGTGGGTTGTAGGAGCCTTGGAACCCGCCAAAGTAGCTGTTATGCTGTTCAAGCCCGTTACCACCTTGGTAACTGGACTGGTCGGAGTAATCATTGGATGGTTTACCGAAACCAAAACCGTATGAAGGCCTGTTGCTCCTGTACTGGCTCGGTGCTGGGTGGTAGACCCTGTGACTGAAGGAAACTGAAGAGTACGGTCGGTCTAGTGCAAGAAGAAAATAATTTTATTAGCATTTATTATTATAGAATATAACAATTCATTCAATCAAAAGTCATTATGTAAAAAATATTTTAGACAAATGGACACCTTGTAAATGCACTTATTGCTTATTGTACCTTTATTAGTTCTTAATTCAGTTCAATTAACTTGATTCTTCTTTGATGAAGGTGAAGGTCTTTGACTGATTTTGCTAGAATTACAACCAATAAATGTCGAGAATAGTTTGTATACAGATAGATCCAAGACCAAGTATGAGTCAGAAGCTATATGAAAATAAACCATTGGCTAAAATCCACATAAGCCTTGAGCATTATGCCACTGGGTTTCAGGCAGTGTGGGCCATAGAGATCAAACACCTAGGAAAACCAAGGAAAGAATAGCCATCTACTTGGACAACCAAGAGGCACTAAAGGCACTACCTCATCGGTAGTAAAGCCCAGAGCTGTTTGTGACTGCATCAAGGTTTAGGGAAATATTTTGGATAACAACACTATTACCCTTGTTTGGGTGCCCTTTATCTGGGCTGATAAATTGGCCAAGGGTTAATGGGTTCTGAACCCTTTTGCTGCTTAACAAATTGCTAGAAATGTTGCCCATCAAACAATGTGTTAAGTATAAGTCCTCAGTTCAATGGGTACTCCAGGATAGAGGCTTGTAAAAAAATTAATCGAAGGCCATTGATGTGTAAAGACTAGACTGTAAGATAGAAGGACTGTTTTCAAGACACTGCAAACTCTGGAGGCATATAAACTCAGAGTAGCAGAAACAAGCTTGCGCAAATATCGCCAGGAAGAAGAAGAAATTGTGGAACATGTCCTCTGCTGGTGCGAAGGCCTATGCAGGCTGAGAGCACAGAAAGCGAAAGTTTTAATCTCCAGAGATATTTGGGAGTGCATCAAGGGGCCCTGGCAGACGTTGGGAAAAACAAAATCACCCTTATTTTGGTGCCCTGTATGCCCTGCATTCTGGACTGGGTTGGGCAAGGAAAGCTTGACCACATTTCCAAAAATATTGATCCATCTGAGTATGGACAAAGTTCATTAAAGAACCATACTGAAAGATAAGACGGATGATGCAGACTCCGAATGTTTGTCTTAAACTTTAGTTATTAATTTTTTTTGTGTGTTGAAAGCTTAGAGCTTTCTCTTTTAGACCTGATCTTGTGTTTCTTTAAAGGATTTGACTTGTTGAAAGACAACTTCATAGATCATCAATTTCAGCAATAAACTTTAAAAGTACCTGAATATTTTTTCCCCTTCAGTCAATATTCCTTTTTAATACGGTACAAGGGTGTTTGTAACGGGAAAGTTAAATAAAATCTCACTTGCGAAAATTGTTATTTTAGAACGTTTTTAATACCGTGTTGCCTAAATGGTAACGGAATCTCAACTAAGCAATCAAGCAGTAATATTCTTGGACATGCTGCACTGCCGTTTATTAAGCGTGAATGATCGACGGTCGGCAGAAAAGGCTCTGTACTAGCTTGAAAAAAAAAAAGAATGTTAGCTTTAAAAATTTATGAGACACAACGGAAATGGCTTCGTTGTTGCTCAAGAACCACGGTTTTGAACAAATTGGGCAGTAAAAATTCGATAACTCAACTGTGAAATAGTTGATTTTGAGATTCGAGATTGAATCGGGACGTTGAGCAAAGACAGGACGCATGTTAATTGGCGTAAGGTTTTTTTTTGGTAGCTGGTTTACAGAAATTCTTTGGATTTTACATCTTAATAAGGTCTAGATCCAGATTTTGTGTAACACAATTCAATTTGCATTTCGTACGAGCTGGACCGACGGCTGAATATTTATACCTGTCTGCCCTTTTAAGTCCGCTCAAAGAAAGTTTCCTCCGAGTCAGTAAAATCATAAAATCTGACAGGTTGTATTTAGTTGTATCCTATTTGAAAATACATATTTAATCAAAGGAAATGTGAAACTTCACCGCTCAGAATTATCGTGGGGTAATGGAAAACAGTGAGAGGCCATAGGGACTTGGGATCATAAATGAAATTTTTTTTTGGTAATCCTAGGTCGAAAAATATTGGACAAGTATCTTCTTGCCAATGGGCTTCAAGAGCCGAGAAAATTCGTTTAGCTAATTTAAGTAAGTAATTTTTTAAAGTCGTGTTTTTCAGCCTTGGTTGTGCATTTATTTCAAGATTATTATATATCTTACAATTAATTAAGGTTTTCAGTTGAGATAAAAAAGTCAATGGCACGAGCGGGATTCGAACCCACGATCTTCGGCTTCATACGCCGCTGCTCTACCACTTGAGCTAGCGTGACCTCGATCCACTCGGACACCAACCTCCCATCTCAACACCACCTTTTGAATTTCATTTGTCGTTGAGAATCAAATTGATTACACGACATATGAAAAATGGCAAAAAGGAGGGGAAATTCAAAAGGTGGGATTGAGATGGGAGGTTGGTGTCCGAGTGGATCGAGGTCACGATAGCTGAAATGGTAGAGCAGCGGCGTATCATGCCGAAGATCGTGGGTTCGAATCCCGCACGTGCCATTGACTTTTTTATCTCAACTGAAAACCTTAATTAATTGTAAGATATTAATTGGTCAAGCGGACCACGAAACTAGTGAATTAATATATTTCGATTTGTATTATTAAGTAGTTTAAGAAAATAATATGTAGGATCGTTTAAAATAAAGATTACATATAAAAAGTTACAAAAACGAAACGACGCTTTCAGTAAAGTTAGCTAAACTCCTAGAAAACATTGACACAAATGCTCGAACACTAAAATCTTTCGCTCTAGTGTAAAAAAAGGTTCATTCAAATCGTTGATCCCAGGTCCATAGCAGCTCTTTTGTCAGTCCTCAACTGAATTTCCCTATTTTTCAACATTTGTTCATATCTGGCACCATGGTTTCAAACCAAGACGTAATTTTCACCACTGGGTGAAAAAGTTTTCACGTTGGGTTCACAGATCAATTTTCCTGGTCAACTTTAGTTCCTGTCAGGGATAGGGACAGGGGACACCTCGACCTGAATATTTATAACTTACTGGCCAGTTTCAGGTTATTAACCAGCTTTCAAAGCTTTGCCAGTGGTTCCTTGGCGTAGGATCTTGTTTGTGGTTTTTCTTGTCCTAGTTGCAAGAACCTGCCCTTCACAGACCTTTACTTAAACATAAAATCTGCGGTCTCCTCCTCTTCTTGGCAGTATCTGCACAGTGTTTCTTCTGTCAGTACTCCTATCCGGTGCATGTGCTTTCTTAAGTGGCAGTGCCCTTCAGAAGTCCAACCAGAATCCTGGTTCGTTGCGGTTGCCTTCCAGTAATTCTTTTGTAAGTTTTGCGGATGGTCCTTCTATGAATCTCTTCGCGTGCCTCATACCTGTGGTAAGTTCCACCAGATTTTGGGCTCATTAAGGACCCATTTTGAGATGTATCCTCTTTTGTGGCAGACTGCTAAGCCGCAGTAGGGTTCAGGACCCAGAGAAGAGATGGTCCCTTTTTGAAGAGGACCCCCCCCTTTTTTGGCCAACATGACAACCTTTTCGCTGCCTCTATGCCCGGAATGTCCAGGGACCCGTGCCTGGGTCAGGTCATTAGTGTCATTGACTTCCGTCAAGTCCTCCATGCAGTTCCAAAAACTCTTAAAACTCTTTGTTTTCGCCTCGCATGAGGCTGGGGTTCTAAGTGCTCCCTGGCTGTCAGAAAAAATGGCTATATTCCGGAAATGTATTCCTAGCCTTTTTATTTCTCTGGCACATTGTTCAATCGCTATGATTTCAGACTGGAAAACTGTAGCATACTTTCCTAGGTTTACCGTCAGTTCGGTCTTGGGGGTTCAGATCCTGTCAAGTCGATCATAAAAGGATTACTAAGAAAATAAACAATACTTCACCTGTAAAATTTTGAAAAGGGTTGTGATAATCTACAGCCAGAGCGTTGACAGCCAGCAGTGCAAAAACCAGCGTTCCTATACACATTTTCAGACGTGACATCTGAAACAAACAAAACAAATGGTAAAAAAACCTGATAACAAAAAATACTAAAACAATTTTTCTCACATAAAGTAACGTTATGGGCTAAACGGTCGCAAATTTATCACCCCGGTTAAACATACTTTACAACATCCAGCTAGACGATTATTTCATTTTAAGACCAGTCTACAGTGTCAATTATTATTAAAATTAATGAATTATATGGACAGATTTACATGTAATGACGATGATTATACAAAGTATCGTGGTTGCGTAACGAAGTCCTTTAGAAGGAGTGAGATTCGGTCCGAAGTCGTCGTGCTGCAAGTCCCTTTAATCAGTTTTGCAGAGAAAATAACGCTAGTTTGTACCATCATGTTTTCTTTCGTAATTATTAATCGATTGTAATTAATTACAAGGAGTGAGATAAATTGTTTAAATGGAAAATATAGGAGAAGAAAGTTTGCAAAGTTGGAAATGAGCTATAACATCAGCACAGGCTAAGTAAAGCTTAAAGTTCAAATCTTCAAATCAAAATCAAAGTACAATCTTAATTGAAATAAAACAACTAGCATCAAGTTCCGACCTTCATTTGAAAACCTATGACCATTAAAAAAATCATTTAAAACACTTGGAAGAAATTGAAGATGCGAAACCTTATATAAAGTACGTTTAGCCCCATGGGCGATTTTCCCAAATAACGAGTTTATTTAAAAGTTCGAAAATAGATCAGTACGATATAATTCTTTGTTCTGATTTATAAAAGAAAAGTTTTTTTAAAGGCATGTAGGCTTCCATTTGACGTATCTCTTTATTATCCCGTACCTGTGCCATCAATCAAAAATATTTGTAAAACGATATTTTCCATGTAATATTTGCTTTTTAATATTGGCAACGTTTAAATTTGATTTGTAAAGACGAAGACGAAGGCATTAGGATTTTGGATGCTATATAGAAGAAAGGCTTGGCGTCAGGGTTATACACAGGGCGAGGCGAGACGCTAATCCATGATTGTGTATTGGCCCAACTTTTGGCAGAGAGTTACTGAGTGGTCATGGCAACTTTGGATCTTGCAGAAGATAAAATAAGAATCAGGTTTGTTCTATTCCACTGTGGAGTGTGGACATTAGAAAAAACCCACAGAGAGCTGTTAAATCAAATTTTCCCAAGTTATCTACCAAGACAAAGCGTAGTATGACAAGGCACCTAGTTCGTGGAAAAATGGAAACTTTGAGATTGATTAAAAATTAATTGGCTATTTTCCGGAGTAAATTCTGACCACCTAGTTTTTCAGGATTGTGGATTACTGTGGTATTTGAGATACCGTCCAAAACCACCAAATGGCGCCCGATCATCCCAAGAGTGGTGTCGCTTTTTAAAAATGTATTTCTATACGTACATTCAGATTACAAAAATAATCCCCGGGCTTAAAAAGACAAAATTACCAATTATTATTTACTCAACAGAACAAGATGGCCAAAGTTAGATCGTACTGGGACAAAATTAAAGTCTCGAGTCATAAAACAACGTAATTAAGTCAAATGTGTTGATTTCGTCGAATCAACTGAAAATGGGGATTTAATTGTTAGTAGACGAGGCGCAACGCGAATGACAGTGCTTAAAAAGCAGTTTGGCCAAAATTAATCAAAAAATTATTTCACTAGCATCAATTATTCACTTTTTTCTTTCTAAAAAGTTTTAAGGATTCAGTTTGTAAACTAACAAAAATCATCCAGACAGGTTTTATATTATTATTATTACCATCATCATCATCATCAAATAACTTTATTAAGTTCGAAATGCACTGATTGTATTATTACTTTTAATTACTTAAGCATGTATAGTTTTTATTTTAGTAATTTGTTTAATATTCTTTAAAGACCATTATATTTAGTGGTCTATTGACCAAATTACTTCTTTCAATTAATTAATCTTTTTATGTAAGGTTTTGATTGAAATGAAAAAGCTAGAGTCACGAGCTGGATTCGAACCCACGACCTTCGCCGCTGCTCTACCGCTTGAGCTATCGTGACTTCGATCCACTCGGACACCAACTCCTCATCTCAACCTACCTTTCGAATTTTTCCTCATTTTTGCCATTTTTCAAATGTCGTGTAATCAGGATTTGATGATTTGGTTCTCGGCGACGAATGAAGTGTCCACGGAGAGCTGTTAGTGAAGTTATACTTCGTTTTACTTATTAAATCCATTATATTTCGTGGTTCGATTGACCAAATAACTTCTTTCAATTAATTTTTCTTTTTATGTAAGGTTTTGGTTGGAATGAAAAATGGCAAAAAGAAGGGAAAATTCGAAAGGTAGGTTGAGATGGTGGGTTGGTGTCTGAGTAGATCGAAGTCACGATAGCTCAAGGGGTTCGAGCAGCGGCGTATTGAGCCGAAGGTCGTGGGTTCGAATCCCACTCGTGACACTGACTTTTTTATCTCAACCAAAACCTCAATTAAAGATTAATTAATTGAAATTCTTTAAAGATTTGAAGAACGTGAGAATTCGCGTCGCCCACATTTTATTTATATTGTTATTATTTATTACGTTATTTCTATTATTAACGGTTATTAAGCGAGGTGACGTAAAGGGAAACTTGACCAAGTCCAACTTCGGCCACATGAGTTTTGTCACAGCTTCTTTTTTTTCCCCGTTGGACCGCAAACGCTTTCAAGCTCGATCAGCGCTGACGTCCGGATCGTATAAGAGAGACGACACGGTCTGTTTACTCCCTCGACTTCTTCCTTCTTTGTTAATCGCATCCTCTGGATTTTTCAATAAGCACTTTGATAACTTTGGTACCGATTGTCTTTAAAAGACCGTTGGGAATAATTTCAACTTTGCGCTTGAAAAGAGAAAGTTTTTTTTGTTAAATCACGCTTCCAATTCTGATTATCATCGATACATGATGCTGTAAAAAACCGAGATCGGATCTCGCTCTCAGAAATAAAGCAACTCTGTGAAAATGCCCCTGTTTTGTGCCTGTTAGGTTTTATTTTATTACTTTTATTATTTGGATGAAATAATTTCATTTTATGAAATTGATAAAAAGATAATGAAAGCCGTGCAGGCTGAGATTCCTACTCCTGGAGCAATAAAACCATGACCTCATGGACACACAAGCGTGCTAAGCATTGATACCTAGTATAAAACCTTGGGTTTAACGAAGAGCTCGATGATGGTGGAAATTGCATCAAAGACACCACTGGTCACGGTGTGCTACGACCTAAAGATGATCACTTTTAATCTATACTATTTAACCAGCACATGAGTTGGACGAATCCTACCCGGATTACACGACTCGAAGGCCATGCCAGATTAGTGGACTCTCTGCGTGCTCATTGAAATGAAGGAGGGTCAACAAGAGGGTCAGGAAAGGTCAAAGTGGACATTCTCATATTCGGTACTCTGCGTTAATTCGGTGTTAGAACCGAAAGGGAACAAAGTTCGAAGAGCTTAGCTTAATTATGGAGGTGTAGTCGATTCGCCCCGGATCGCCGGATCGTCTTAGGCGAGTACGTTTTCATCCAAGGACCATGTACGCTAGAGGAGCTCCTCTTGGCAAAGAACCATGCCTCATAGGGTAAGCTGCTCTCTGTGAAGTTCTGGCGGCAGGACTGGTAAAGTCTTTCACGTGCCCGAGTCAGCCAATATTGGTCGCAGTGCGCTAGGTCAAGAGACCGTGTCACTTTAACCTAAAACTTTAAATCTCAAGCCATTTATACAATTCGTTCACTCGATCCAGTCGGTTAATAAAATAATTTGTTAATTTATTCTTGTACGGCAATTTTCCGTCAATAAGGAAAAAATCCTACCAGCTTCGTTCTGTGAGTGTCAAAGCTATCTGTCCTATATGGTTATTGTGACACATTCACGAAAACTTAACAGTTCCACATTTCCATATTAAGGTTTGATTAAACTGCTCAAATGACACGCATTAACTTAATTACAACATACACCTAACTACTATGGACTAAATGCATTCATCATTATGAAATTACACCACACCAGCTGGGGCACTGTTGCTCAACTTTGTTCACTGAAACCGCTACTAGAATTTAAACACTAAACTAATTAAATGTGTTGTTTAATTTAAGCAATTACTAAAAATTTGGGGGATTAAAAACCAATTTGTATCAATACAGCAATGTTTCGATTTTGAAAATTTGATTTAGTTTTTAAAGGATTCGAACTTACGATGTCCAGAATAGTTACGAAATTTTCAGTGTTGATTGAAAACGGCGAATGTTATTTTGGAGTAATGATTAAAATAAAAAATTTCTAAGTACGCTATGTGAAATTATTTATAAATCCGAGATTTTGAATACAAAATACCAAGGAGTATTAGATTTTTTCTTGTGGAAAAATAGAGGACATCATTTGCTATTTGGAATACAAAATAGCTTTTTTCCTTTGATACCGAGAAGTGGATGAAACTAGTTGGAATTATTGCAAAATTCGTGATGTACTAAACAAAATTTACTCGACAAATCCTTCGGCTTAGATGAAACGCATACTAGCATTTTAAAATGAAAGTTTAACTTTTAATAAACTTCTGGCCTTTTTCTAGATCATGGAATAATTTTTCTTTCATAAATCTAAGTTATGAAGTACATATCTAAGTTGAAAACACACTCTTTTTGAAAGAACTTTTTGACAATAATAAAACATTTGTTTGAACTTTAAACCAAAATCGAAACTTTCCTGGTACTAAATCATATTAAAATTAAATATTAAAATATTACGAATAAATGCGATAAATCACTCGGCCGATATTAAACTATCACATAATCGGCCAAGGGTTATTTTTTTCCCTCTCGATCGACCGATAAATTAACATTTAAGTTTGATCAACATTTAAATAACTTTGCATAATATCAACTCAAATGTAAATTTTCAATAATTGAATGACAATAATTTTCAGTTTAAAATGCAAAAGAAAACCTGTTTAATGAATGACACTAATTATACACCATTTCAAAGTTTTTGAAAATTTTTACGTTGCCTGTTACAAA